AGAGAAAGATTTTGAATTTGAAAGATAACGTTTCACATTTAAAGAGAATTAAAGTGATTATTGACGTGACAACAACATGGCAAATGATGTGTGGTGTGTACCTATAAGATGACATGAGAAGTGACATGACAATGATTGAACGCATAAAAAATTTTAATTATAAAAAAATTAGTGAGATAAAATTTATTAATTAATGACAGATATTTTTATTACTTATTTAATGAAATTTGAATCATCTAAATTTAAAAAATTTTTATTTATTTTTTTAGTTTATATTTAAATCATTCAACTTAATAATTTTTTTTGTTTGTATTTGTAGCAAAATTATTTGTGATTGTATGTATTAAGTTATGATTGTGTTCTTTTATTTTAAATTTTTAATTGCTAGAAAATTAACTATTGAATTTATGTACTTGTTTGTTTTAATTTTTAGACTTAACACATTATGTAATTTGATAAATATTATAATTCAGGTCTCTCCTTTACGTTTTATATGCTTTACTGAAATCCCTCAATCCTTTCCCAATTTCAAACAAGACATGATGACCTTCAAGACAAGATATAAAACAAAAAATTCAATCCCATTTATTTTTCAAGAAAGGACTAAGATAAGACTATCCTGATTTCGTTGAGTGAATACCCCTATCCTGATTTCGTTGAGTGAATACCCCTATTGAAAACAAACCAGCACGTTTATTTAGAATGAATGCTTAGAAAGGCAACTATTATTGAAAAGTGGCATCCTTCACTGTAGGAAATTATGATCATCCTCCACATAACCCATCCAATCTTTATATCAAGAGTCACCGAGTTTTAAAACCCTTTGAAGAGATCAGGGGTTTAATCATGCATGATTGAAAGATAATCTATAACTATGTCAGTAGAAATGTAAATGACTGCAAATTGGTTGGCAAAAGAACCTCATAATATGACCGCTGGGAGATTATCATGAGAGAACCTCCTCCACAGTGCAGGAAAACTCATGAGGATTGATTTGACTTTGACCAGAGATATGATGATCCACATTTTTGTTCGTAAAAAAATTATGCGAATCAGGTGAGTTATCATAACATGCCTCTAAATTTAAAATTTAAGAACGCTTACATATATCCATAGTTTTATTTGTTTGAAAAAATACACATGGCTCTGGTGAAAATGCACAGGCGACCAGGCTTTACAGTTTTCATTAGCATATCGTGCTTTCGTGCTTGTAAAGAAAATGGTAACAAAATTACATTATACATACACGTATACGTGCGTATTATATATCACGCCAACAAAATTTCTCAAAACTGTAGAGAAATCTGTGGATCACATTTCCAAACAACGAGCTATCATAGGTTAACGTGTGATCATTCAGTTTAGCTCTTGCTAAAAGAAATCATAGGGTCCAGCTTACCGGTCTTCCCTTCGAACAGCGTTCGGATCAGACATCATGTCCATCATCATTTTCTCAGGTGAATCGTCCCAGCTCGCAAATGTCTTCAAGTCAACCTGCAAAAGCGCATCATAACATAATTTTCCTGCTTTCTATTTATTCATCATATCTTAATTGAAAAAAACAAAAGTTGGATCAGCTATGTTACTTTTCGTCTTTGCTCAGTGAAAAGTTCTTCTCTCTTCTTATAGGAATCTTGCACCTTCTTTGCCGCATGCCCTCCAAGTCCCCAAACTTCAACTTCTGAAACCAAGCCTTCGACAGCCAGAAAACCCTGAAAATGGAACATATAATAAGTCGACAAATAACAGCTCAGGAAGCTAGAGTCACTAGACAAGTAAAGTTAGCTGTTGCTCAGTAGGACAATAGCCATAGTGCTTTAGCAATCTCGGTCCACGTTGTTCTAACTTCCAATAACTCTTAAAATCTTTCACCATCACCTTCTTTTTAGAAATTTTACCATACGGATTACGGTATTTTTTTTTTTTAAGTGAAAAAAAAATGATTTCATTCAAAAGAATCAACTATACATCGGAACAATCTGGTACACAAAAACCCCCAGATTCGAAAGAGAAAGAACCATTGATCTAGAAAATTAAAGTATATTTAACAAGACATGTTACCATATGAGACAACATGCATGATAAGCAACTTCTGATCAATATATTTAATTACTGTTCAGTTACAAGCTCAACATCAACACTTTAGTCCTCTCAGACAAAGAATTATACCTGGTCTGGAAGGAGAGGACCAGGCTGGTAAGTTTTGTCAATAGCATGATGACGAACAGTCACTCTCGCAAAATCTTCATCGATAAATATTCGCTCATTTCCTATAGTTCCTCCAAATGCAATTCCCACAGGTTTTGGATGAGGCTCGTATGCTCTACCAGAAGGGTGCAAGTGACTATAAACAAAATTCTTTTCCTTACCTGTCAATAACAAACAAATGTTGGATAGTGGCCAAAAAAGTAGTCAAAAGAAAAAAACAAATAACCCCAACCCAGAAATCCCACTCCCCAATAAACAGGAAAATAAAAGAGCCACTTTCAGCCTCTACTACCAACCAGAAGGTGGGAATACATGGAAAACTGGACTTATAGCATATAAACATCCTGAGCTTCCATAGAACAGATCCTTATTTTCAAAACCCTGATTTGTAAGTGCACCTATAACCCATTTCCTAACAATGGAGCTTCCTTCATGGGATTGTCCTGAACTTGCTGCAACCAAAATTAGCAATGGACCTTTGTAACCTTCAACATGAGACCAAAATCTGTTTAGGCCTTTCCCATGAGCAGATGACCTATAACATATTATATATTCGATGTCAAAGCATATCTTTTTTTCCAAATGCAAGTCTCAGTAGAAAAAAGCTTACAAGAGTGCAAGACTAACCTTCTATTTGGAATGGGAAGAAAATAGAAAGGAGAGAAAAGTAAAAGAAAAAGACATTTTCCTCTCCTCTGCATAAAGTTTTCCCTCCTCGAAAGAGAAATTAGGGGAAAACATAGTTGAAAAATGTCTTTTTCCACTATTTTCTCTCCTCCCTATTTTCTTTCCATTCCAAACAAAGCATAAGAGTCTATAGGTAACAAAATCAGACACAAAGCGGAGAAGCACAATGTTGTGAATCAGTAGCACGAAATGAGGTACTCATACCCAAGTTTAGCAATGCCAAGCACTGACCAAGAATTTGTTCATTACAGCAGGCGTCCTATATTGTTAATGCATAAGTGAGGGATCAAGCCATGTTTAAGATTCAGAGATACAAACCTATAAAGTAGTCTTTCATCCATTCCATCTTCACTTCTTGAAAAACACACTCCTGAGATCTCCTCATTTATTGTACTTCTTTGTGTAAGACCAATTGCCCATGCCCTTCCGCGGGTTAAAATGTTATTATCACATTCTGTTGTCAATGAAACATCCCCAACTGAGGAATTAGAGGGCACCGATTCATCCTGCCATTGATCAGGAAATTATTCCATCTAAAGACACCTTATAGCCAGAGGCAATAGATTTTTTTGTCCTATAATAACCATGTCAAAAGCAGAGACTATATTATTGAATCTAAAACGGTTTGGAAAAGAGGGTTAACTCAATGAGTGTAACAGCAGGCAAAGCATATTGTTACAGTTCATGCAATAGTTCATAGCAAATGTTTCAACCAATTAATGCTTTGACATAAACTTAGTTGAAAGTGCTCCACAAGTGATGCTATACCATATACTATAGCGTAAATGTTAAGGGCGAAAGGTCTTCAAGACAATTATCATTCCCTATTTCCCTAGCAGCAGCAGCCTAAGAAAAATGTAAAGAGCTAACCACAGTGATTGACATTCTTCTATGATTTTAGAGAAAAACATTTCAATTATTTGAATATTATCAAATGCTACAATAATAAACTCAATGACAGAATAAAACAACTTCAAGGTAGCTGTTTAACCACCAACTTATATAATGACCCAAACTTAACATCTCAATTTGACAGAGGAAAACCTATTTTTAATGGAAACAAAAAATACAAATATGACCAATTGAGTTACTGTATTCTTGAAAAGGATGTAAGGAAGCAGTTGCATCTCACTCAAGAAGGTCAACAAGAAGGCAAGGTAGAAGACACGAAAAATAGGGCTGACATGAATTAGTGGCATGCATTAATTTAAATCTAATTTCAACTAATTAGCAATCAGGGCAGGCAGTTTTGAATCGATTTATAACAAGCACAGACTACTAGGTAGCTAAACATGTACATAAAGTGTTTAATCCTTGGCATGCATGGAAATTATGTTGACCAGGTGTCACAAAAATAAAGATGGCAAATAGTTCAACTTGAATGCAGGAATTACCCCTGCAGTGGCTTGATTTTGCAGTCTTGCATGAAAAAACTGATTTAAACAATCTGAGAGGCAAGGTACTGTGCTCAAAACCCATGTAACAAACTTTCCTGCAGGAATTTGAACTTCCGAGCTTGAGAAATCACTATCCCACACATTCAAGCCACTGTCAACTTTCGCACATGATGTAATGGCTGATAGTACCAGATGATTCAAATCTGGTGGGCTATGACTTACTTTGCATTCGGATTGTTTCAAACTTCCACAGTCCCATGACATAGACCAACACATGAGGAGAAGCAAAATTACATCACTGGGAATAAGGAACCCATTTATCTTCCAATCAGCATCGTCAAATTCAATCTCCAAATTGATAGGCATATTGGCTCTTCCTATTGTTAAACGCAATACTCTGAGAAGCATATTCAGTGACACAGACGCAGACATCCTTGCACAGCAATTATTATAACCTCTCACAAATTCAACCCAAGTTATTTGCCCTTTCGCAGGCGTAAAAAATTGATCAACTATGGATGGGCCCAAGTGATCTAACAGTACCGGGAACAACTTGGGAATGTTGCTGGCATCACTTTGACCTTTGTAAGCTAAACTAAAGCATTGCTGAAATCAATATGTTCACATGTTAGAAATCAGAGAGAAGAAGATAAAACAAAATGAATATAAGAATTGCGGTGAACATATTAGGGCTTTATGAAAGAAAAATAGCAAGTGACCTCAAAGCCTTTTCTCTTGGATTTTGGACAGTCACGAAAGTTTTGAACATTTATTATTCTTCATCTTTCTACATGATATCCAATTAAACTAAAATTCAATTCGATCACGAGTAACTCACGATGTTAAACCACGTAGAAATTGAGTTTACAGGTGGCTAAGATTAAAAGCTTAAAATGCATTAGGCCAAAGTATAATTCCCCCACCGATAAAACCATAAGTGAATGCAACAAAAAGCAGACCTCATGTCTTCTACGCATACTTGCAAATCGAAGAGTAATGAGTAATTATCCTCAGCATTTTATGGAGTATTCAATCACTAAGATCTTCCCATGATATCGCAAGCAAAGGTGCTCTCAAGTTTTTGTTTTCCTTCATCTGTTGGGAATGCCAGCTTGATTTAACTGTCTTCTAAGAAACCAAGACTTAACATTTTAATGATCAGTTACAGTGACTTTCTTTCATCAGAATTGGGTAAATCCGTACTTCCAAAATGAATAATAATACATAAAATCGAGAGTTTAGTAATGTTTTTCAGTACCTGTAAATTTTCACGGGGAACGGCATTTGTTTCGGGATTAGCAACCTTGGAGAAAGCTCTCCGAAGCATAGGAAGAGCACCCGTGGAAGCGGCTTCGTTTTCCACATCCCGTTGTTCCGTCGAAACGTTTTGTACCGTCGAATTGGATGCCCCCATCGCTTGGCTTTATCGAATCTTCTGGCTCCTCGTCAATGAAACTCTTCGCTCTCCGCTCGTGTGCTGCCAACTTCCACTTCCAAGAAACTAGCCCCAAATACTAATCAAGCACCGAGTCGGAGTATTTTTTTTTTTTTTAATTTAATTTAAAATGACAAAAGGATCGGTAAACGATAACGTTTTATGACACGCATTTGGCTATCCAATTTTTCGGAATTTGTTAAAGGCCTAACGGGACCGAATGCCATGTTACATTTATTATTGTTATATTTTATTTTATTTTCTTAAAGACCAGATCATGTCAGATCAGCTACGTGGCGTTCTGTTGTGAGAAAGTCAATGTTCGCCTCGCCCAGCCCAGCCCAGCCAGAAAGGAATTAGGAATGTCGGGCCAGGCTAGTATTCTAGTGCTGCCCTGCCCAATTTGCCTTGCCGAACAGTATTTATATATGTATTTATAATTTTATTATTATTTACTGTATATATATCAAATATTAATATTGAAATGTGCATTTAGTCAATAAGATGGGGAGGGTTTCTAAAAAAAATCCAAATAATCCTTGATTCCTTTCATTGAAATTGTGATTTATTAAAAAATTACATATATAAGCTACCCTTACTAAAGTCCATAATGACATTTTTATTACATTTAAATCTTCATGATTTTTTTCTTTCTTTCTTTTATTTTACAAGCAAGTTTCTTTCTTTCTTTTTAGCTTTATTGCAGACTAATTAATTTATAATTGTCTTTTGTATTTTTTAGATGCTCTTCTTTTTGTGAATTTTGAGAAAATCAATTTTTTTTCCTAGATGCTCCTCTTTTTGTTACATTTGAGTCTCATTGTGTTTTTTTTTTTCCCTAATCCTCTTTTTATATTAATTAATAATTAATTTTACCAATAGATTTTTTTTCTTTTTTAACCATCGCTTGGACAAGATAGCTTAGAACATTCTTCTCAATCCAAAATGCTTGGACATCTTATGAGTAAAGTTATATAGGAGGATATAAAGTATAGCCCGTTTATATTTTGAGCCAAGTATTTGGCAGAGACTCTGCTGGTGTGCAGCCCTATTTATAACTATGCATATAGGAGTAGAAGTAAGAGTTGATATAAAAAAAAAAGAAACTAATACCAATCCAGTACTTAATATAAAATTTAGTTAATAAATTTCACTATCATTAAGAATGTTTGTTATAACCTTAAAATTGTAAAAAAAATAATTTTACCCCTTTTTATAGTTGATGATTGTAATAAATTGTTGTTTAGGAATTCAAATAATAATAATAGATGAGGGGTAGAATTTAAAAAAAAAGTATTAATTAATCTAACTTTATCTCTTTCTCAGATTAAAAAAAATTTTCAAAAATCTATATATGTAAAGTGCATGTGGTTACTGTTTATCTATAGTTACATGAACAATAACCGTTTTTTTAAAATAATTATTGTAAATTAAAATCTTATGTGGGACCCATAAAAAATAGGTGTGAGACCCAGAATAAAAAATAATATAAGACTTAATATTTTCAGTAAAGGTGAGAACTATGCTTATCATTTATTGCATGTATTTAGTATATGTATAAGATATTTAATTGTATTATAAAATATAAATTTAAATGATAAATCATAAAATAGAATGTTTTACTGCAATGAAATTACAAACTTAATTTATATAAATTATAAAAAATATGCGTATAATTTGATGGATAATATTTAATATTTCAAATATTAACTCACATGAAATAACAAAATTTGTATAACTAAAATTTAAAAGTATTTCATCTTTTTAATATATTTGAGTTAAAAAAATTTAACATAGAATAATTTTTTATTTAAATTTAAATCTGCATAAAGTAACATATCACAAGTACAAAAAAATTAATTATTTTAAAATTTTTATTTTTTTATTTTGTGCTTACCCTTCAAATGATAAAAAAATCCTTACAAATATTCAAAAAAAATATGTCAAATAAATTTTTACAATAATTATAAACAAGTAAAAACAAAATATTATCGTCCATCGTAAGGGTCAAAATCTAGTTAAGAAGTAAGATAAAAACTAAGAAGAGTTCGAATCCCAACTCTTTGGTATGGAGCAATTTAGTTAAGAGAGATTTATTATTTGTCCTCAATATCTGGGAGATATTTTCTACTGTCAGCATAGTCTACTGCCCACAATTATCACAAAAAGGTAGAAATTGATATATAAATATAAATATAATACAATTTTACGTAAAGAAAACATGACTTTTATCTCTATAGTAATATTTCAATCTTCTTACTGCTTTTAATTTGATCAATATGCAATATTAATTCTTATAATTTTAAAAATACACTTAAAAATTATGAACCAACTTATGGAATTAATTTCACTGCAACACTATTTATCCCTTTATTAACATGATAAAAATATGCTGGGAAATTGACTAAGCATGATTAAAAATAAAAGGTAAAAAGGTAAAACTTTCTTCCAGAGTGCATTTGGATACGTGAGAATTTTGATTTGAATTAAATCCTTCATTTTAGTATATTAAATTTTTTAGATTTGTATTTGATCAATGTTTTATTATGACTTCTTTATAATTTTAAATTCTCTATGAACCTTAATACTTGCAATTCTATCTACTCCAATCCTTTATTTTTTTTCACATTTTCATCATCAGTGTCTTTGTTATTATTGTTACTCCTCTCACATATCATTCTTGTTTTTCAACAATTAAGGTAAGCTTGTCACTTCCAATCTTCTATTTTTGCTTTCAATCTTAACCCATCCCTTTTTTTTTTTACCTTTAACATATGCTTGTTGTTGAATACTTTGTTTTGATGATAATAGAATTCGAAAAGAGGTTTTGTTTTGAGCAGGTTATAACATTAACCATGACAAAACCAACTCAAGATTATAAATAGGCAAGAACAAGGAAAGTTCTAGTCTTATAGGATTTTTTTTTTCATTTTCTCATAGTTCTTATTGTTAAAAACTTGTTTAAATATAAGAGCTTGCATTTGCATACATTAGCAAAATATGTTTGAGAGATAAGCCTAAGACATAGCACCGAGCAAATGGGTGATGCGCTGGCTGGCAATTTTTGTCAGTTGGATTGGCCAACTTGCTAAATAAAACAAGCTAAAAAATTTAATATAACTCATTTTTTTTGCGGGTTGGCAAGCCTGCAGGCTAACCCACAAAAATGTACCAAATTTTTTTTACAATTTAAAATTTATATAATATATATATATTTATTTATTTATTTCACACATTAAGGAAAATTAGCAATTAAAAAACGTGTAAATAAATAAAATAAATATAAAATTCAACCAAGCAAATTTATTTGGTTATATTTTTACTATTAATTATCTTCTCGCCTTAGTGTATTATCTTTCTCACTGGAAAAGAAAATTTGAATATAAACTCGTATTTTTTTTTTCAATAAATTCATATTTATGATTTTAATAAATAGTTTTTATGAGATTAATAAATAATATATATTCAAAATATTTATATAAAAATTAATAAATCATCGATTTACAACCTATAATAAAAAATTTATTTGCAAATTGTAAAAAAGATTCATATTATATTTCAAATATAAAGAACATATTTTGAAATTATAAATTATATAGTTAAAAAATATTTTTATTGTTGTAGATTTATAAAAATATATAATGTGATTAAAAATAAAAGATTATTTTTAAAAAATCATGCTAGCTTGCGAGCTAACTTGTTTAGCTTCCGGCTTAGCCCGTTTTAGCTAGCTAGTTTTGCAAGTTGGGTTAGCTCATCCTGTTTTAAAAAATAAGCTAATTTGTTCAATTCAACTCTTGAAATTTTGCGTGTTAAATGGGCCAACCCATAAGTTCAACTCATTTTTTCGGCTTTACTTAAGTGCACATATGCATACTTATAGTTTCGAACTTAGAAAATATCTTTATGCATTGCATGTTTCAACCTCATCTTGCAAATTTTAGATAAAATACCTTTATGAAACTCAAACTTGTAAATTTTAGAGACTAACTCATGAGTTTGAGATTTATAGAATATATTTTATTTTGTGATTCTCAAACACATGAGTTTCGTAAGAAAAGACATAAGTTTTAAAGCTTTAGATAATATGTTGTTTTTGGCCTACTCAAACACACGAGGTCTAGGTATGAAACACGTGAATTTTAGAGTGGCAAATAGGAGCTTGGTTAGGTGCACTTGGAGCACGCGGATTTCGGTGTGTAGTGTTAAGCATGGCTCAAAGTTAAAAAATTATTTAAATGTAATTATAATTGTTTTAATTATTTTTAAAATAGTTAAATGTGAAGCCTAAGACCTGATTGTTGAATGAGTGTCTCACTTTATTCTCTAATTTCTTATAGACATATCAAGTAAAATTAATGCTGTGGGAGATGGTTTTGTATTAGTTGGTCGAAGTTTGTTATTAACTTGTAGTTACAATATAGTTTAGACATATTGAAGTTTGTTAATTGTTGTTATGAGTTGTAATTGAAGTATTTTTTTTATTTTTAGATATTATTATAAATTTATTATGATTAACTTTTAATATTTTTTTATAAATTTTATATGATTATAAGTATTTTTATTATTTTAATTAAACTTATTATGTTAAAATGAATTGTTATCTGTCATGGAGGAAAAATGAGAAAGAAAAAAAGAAAAAAAGAAAGGTGTTGAACTATTAAGACTAGTATTCTCATTCTATGAACTAAGTTTAATTTTATTCAACTTTGGATTGTACTGATAAGATTATGAGTTACCTAATTCAATAATTTTTATAAAAAAAATTAAATTTTAAATTGAGCTGAAGTCCTATCCTATTATTCTTTTGTTCAGCCTTACTCACAAGTTGTGGATCCTACACGTGCAAGTTTCAATCATTCATCATCTTGTATCTATTTCTTGTGTGATCCATATAGCCTCCACGCGTGTTTTAGTCTTTTAAAAAAGTTTGTGCTTCTATCTTCTCAAAACACGGAAATTCTAGAGTCTATCAAGCTTAACATTCTTAGAGCCTTTTTGCGCCTTTCATTCACGCGAGGATAAACCTGAAACATTTGTGGAAAAAAGTGTTTTTGTTTAATTTGCTCATACACATGCGAAATGAAACAATCATAAACAGCTACTCGAAGCCTCTAACGACTATAATATTCCCCACATTATAAATAAAATTTTATTTAAGTGAGCGTGTTAGAGATTAATGGACTGCATTAACTGTTTTATCTATTACATTAAAGTTTTAAATAGTGGCAAAGCCGCACTGGTTTAAGGAGGTGCATCCTTTGGGAAAAAAGACTATAAGTGGGGCATATAAAATCTACAACCTTGCACCTCTTACTCTTAATATTTTACACCCTTGGAATTAAATAAAAAATATTTAAGCTTAAAAACTCATTAGATAGATAATATTTTAATGATTTAGATAACATATAAAGAGCATATTTATAATAAAAGATTATATCAATCTGCTCAAGATAATTTTTTTAAAATAAAAAATGATGATAAAACTATTTATATTATTATAATTTTAACCCTAACATAATTATTATTTTAAAAAAATATTAATTTTTTATTAAATTATTTTGCACCCATTGACTTAAGGTCTTGGCACAGGTTGAGATTGGAGACAAGTATTTCTGAGAATCAATTTAGTTTTATGCCAGGTAGATCAACTATAGAGGCGATTTATCTACTAAGGGGATTAATGAAAAAGTATCGTTGTAAAGATAAAGATCTATACATGGTTTTTATTGATTTGGAAAAAGCTTATGACCGCATACCAAGAGAAGTGCTTTGGAAAGCGTTGGAAAAAAAGGGAGTACGGATTGCTTATATTAAAGTCATACAAGATATGTATGAGGGGGTAAAAACTAGTATAAGAACGCCTAATGGTCAAACAAAAGATTTTCCTATAAAGATTGGACTACATCAGGAATCATCTTTGAGTCCTTATTTGTTCAACTTGATTTTAAATGTTTTGACGAAACATATTCAAGAGGAAATCCCGAAATGTATGCTCTTCGAGGATGATATAGTTCTTATAGCAGAGACAAGAGAAGAGGTTAATGCAAATTTGAGTTATGGAGGAGGACATTGGAGTCGAAAGGTTTTCGTCTGAGTAGAAGTAAGACGGAATATTTATATTGTAAATTTGGTAAAGGACTATTCGAAAATAATTTGGAAGTGAAATTGGGAGATCAAATTATACCTCAAGTGAAAAAGTTTAGATATTTGGGAGCCATTATTCAAAATAATGGCGAAATCAATAAAGATATTTCACATAGAATTCAAGCTGGGTGGTTTAATTGGAGAAAAGCTAAAGGAGTTATTTGTGACCGTAAGGTGCCTAATAAACTTAAAGGAAAGTTTTATCGCACTGCTATCAGACCGACAATATTATATAGTAGTGAATGCTGGGCTCTAACGGGACAGCAAGAGCATAAAGTTGGAGTAGCAGAGATGAGAATGTTACGATGGATGTGCGTACATACACGTAAAGATAAAATTCGAAATGAGCACATACGCAAAAAAGTAAGGTTGGCACCTATTGAGGAAAAAATGATAGAAAATCGGTTGAGATGGTTTGGGCATGTATAAAGAAGACCAAGGGAGGCACCAGTGAGAAGAGTGGAACATATAACTTTGAGTCCGATTAAGAGAGGTAGAGGAAGGCCTAAGAGAACATTCTTGGAAGTTGTTGAACGTGATCTCTTAATTAATAATATTTCTAAAAGCTTGATAAATGATAGAGCACAATGGCGTCTTGCAGTCTATGTAGCCGACCCCACCTAGTGGGATAAAAGCTTGTTGTTGTTGTTGTTGACTTAAGGTCTTGGCTCCATCACTAATTTTAAACTAGTTCTCTATTTTATATTATTTGGTTTAACTTGTTTGGCAAATGTGGGAGATGAATATGAAACTGGACACTTCCTCAATTTAAAAATATAAAGTATTTTTTAAGAGTTGGATGTTTAAAAATATGATGTATTTTTAATCTTTTAAAATATAATTATTTTTTTTAAAGTGTCCCTATTTAATAAATTACTTTATATTTATTTTAAGGTATTAATATAGATAAATATAAAAAGATAAAATTAATTTAAAAATAAATAATTACTTTACTGAGAGATAAAATTTAATTTATATTTTTAAACTTAGAAAGTATATGCTAACAAAGGAATTAACAGATTTAAATACCACGCGCAAATTCACTATCCTTTATTCTTTTTATACACACACACATGCAGGAATAACACTTTAGATGGATTGAACAACATAATTGAAAACAAACAAAATATAATTACAATATCTAAAACAAAAAAAATAAAATAAAATACACAACTTGACGTCATACTTTTTTTTTTTTAATAATACTGGCAAAATTCTTTTATATATATATATATAAGACAATGAGACTAGAGGGAGATTCTCGTGTAGTGCGTACGCAAGGTGGCGCGTTGTTAGTAGTTTCGGTCTCGGCACAGCACTGGGAGTCCTCCGCCACGGCATCGTTAATCTGAAAATTAAAATGCCGCCGGCAAAGAGGGGCAAGGCGAAGGTTGACAAGAGTGAACCAACTCAATCAGCAAAAGCTAACAATTGGCCATCTTGTATTCGATCCATGACTCCTTCTTCCGTTGCTATTACCATCCACGCCAAGCCAGGTTCCAAAACTGCTTCCGTAACAGGTCCTTCTTTTTTTCTTCTTCTTGTTGATATGCATGCAATTTCATGTGCTTTTGGTTTTAATTCCCAATCGTTATGAAATTGTAGATATCAGTGATGAAGCTGTAGGAGTGCAAATTGACGCACCGGCCAGGGACGGAGAAGCAAACACGGCCCTTCTCGATTACATTAGCTCCGTGAGCTCTTATTTTGTTTGTTGTTTTCTAGTTTATTGTCCCCGAGTCTGACTCAGTTTGCATCTTTAGAAAACGAAATTTTACTGGGAAGAGATGGCGAAGCCCTAATATTGAGAGAGAGCCAGAGTGAAATGTTGCATGTTCATTTGAGTTTCCAGTATCAGATGTTAAAATTTGGGGATAATTTTTTCTCTTGTTTCTAAACCTAGTTTAGGAAATCTTCTTGCGATGGTTGAAACAGGGATTAGTGCTGGAAGGATGAAAATTTTGTGCAGTCATATCGTAAATATGGGTACTCTTGAGTTTCGCACACATAGTTGATTAGATCCTACTTTGTACGGGTTTATCTAATTTTATGCCGGAATCAGTTGCGCCTCTGTGCCTGCTTGGCGCGTTGCTTCTTCCTTGGATTGTCTAGATTTGTTTTATCTGCCTTCCAATGAATTATACAACAATGAAGCCCCGTCCCATTCAATGAGCTCGGCTACCCCAATGGGTTGTATCAACAACTTATATATCATTTATCATGAGATACTTACCTTCTGGAATCATGTTTTACCAAAATGAGCTGTCTTTTATTATATGCTTTATAATCTGGCGCTGCGCGCTTGTGTTAGAGGTGTAGATGGTATACTGGTTCTCTTTAGGTTGATATTATCATCGAGATTTCATTGATATCTATTGGTAAAAGTATAGTGGGTTCGGTCACAAGGCTACGAATCAGATACAATTAAAATTGCAGAAGGAAACTGAAAAAAATCAGAGAGGAGAAGCAGACAGAGGAAGACGATTTTCACCAAAATAATGCTCTGCCTTCACACGTCTCATTCCTCCATCTATATATTGCAACCACCTTCAATGTAGGCGCTAAACCCAATATTACCATCTTTTGGCCCAATAGTTACTTCCTCATAATTCCAATCCATAAGATGATTAAGCCCATTTCTGAAATGCTTCTGCATACTTTGCCTTCAAACTGCAGAATCTTTCTGCAAGATGACAGATGGAGTTGCTGCTGATCCTTCTGGGTTTAGCTCTGTCTTTTGTTTTGTGTTAGACTTTTAGTTTCTCTTTCTCAAGCCTGAGGCTTGCATATTATTGTATGCAAAAAAGAAAAAGGAAACATATTATTAATGTAAATAGTTTTACATGGCTACCTTTTCTACTTCAGTATTGAGTCACCAATTCTGTAACCCTACTTGGTTTTCCATACAACTTATGGACATTTTTATCTGTGCTCATATTTCAGCGTAATTATTGTTGTTAACAAATTAGTCTAAATTGTAACATTCTTTGTGTGATTGCAGGTTTTAGGAGTAAAACGAAGGCAAGTATCGATAGGCACTGGTTCCAAGTCTAGAGATAAGACAGTTATTGTGGAGGATGTTACTGTTCAATATGTTTTTGACGCTCTAGATAAAGTCTCAAAGGACCAGCGGTGAGACAAATACCACGTGGCCGGAAGTGAAGCCATGTGCTGGGATCATGTGATATGTGTTGTTTCTTGATTACCATATACCACACAGCAAGAAGTAAGCCAGATTCTAGTCTCATTTGTTTTCCAGCTGAAGTATTTGCCACTGGTGCCATGGAATACAGACCCTGTCGCCGGTCTTGTTAGTTGAAAGAACGAGAGTCGAACGTGATTGTTTTCTCTCACTTTTGTAGGATTTTGATTCTGATTTGTGTTCGAAATGGTGTATCTACACTGCAAGCAAGTAGTTCCTAATGGTTTTGTAGGATGTTGATTCTCTATTTAAGTTCTTATCATTAGCTGTGAACATGTCATCGAAACAAAGGCTGTGTCGTGTCAAAATAAGAATTTTAGTCACTGATTTGAGAATTTTAGTCAGACTAACTGAGCAAATATAACCTGACCATAGGTTCGGAATAAAAAAGCCAGATATTTGATAGCCAAGACGGAAAAGCTCGGACAAGAAGAGCATTTGGAATATGCGCTGCAGAAGAGTTATGCATGGTCAACTGTAGCCAGCATTAGCTTCATTGATACCAATCCCATCCTTTACATTCTGAAAACAGAACACAGCAACAAAAAGAAAAAGAGTTCCTAAGAAACAGATAATAAATGCTTATTAAGTTATGAAGAATCCTTAAACAGAACCAATCAATTTAAACAGAGGTGTGTCAAGGATATATAGATCATATCGATATACTCTATCATATTACTCATAGGACATAAAAGAACAGTCTTGCCATGCTAGTATCAGAATATTTTGTCATGATATGAGCTCTGAAGTGTTTTTCCTTTGATGATCTTTTCGTTAGGTTTCTTGCGTGACTTTTCATTTCAGGAACCTATAGATCAATGAATTTTTTGAAGTCCATATTTAGAGCCAGAAGCTCTCGAACCCTTCTGCGTCATGTGTTGCCCAATGAGGAAAAATTGGTTTTGACTCTTTTTTTCCCCCTAAAATAACAAACACTCTAAGAACTTAAGCATATGAAATCATTAAAAAAAAAAAAAAAATCACCCATGCGTTTTGCATGACAGGTTATGGGCATTGACGCGATGGAGGGTGATGAACAGTATCGCGATCAACTGGTCTGCGAAATACATAATTAAAAACATTGAAGCAGCAGTGTGGTGAATTCTGAAAAATATGCGTTTATCAGAATTGACAGAGCCAAACCTGCATGGATTTTATATTTTTCATTTTTTATGAATCAGCATAGAAAATCTTAAATAGAAAAGAAGTCGGGAAATAACGATACTACAATTTGATGACTATCTGAGCAACACAACACGAATGGAAGCATTCAGCATGTTACAATACAAAATTAATTTCTGATTTTTTTGGCCAAGTAAAATTGATACCTGATTGGCTTGTTCAGAATGCCTACTCTGTGGATATTGAGACAGCTATCATGATAAAAAATGAATTGATTCATTAATATTTCAATAGTCATTGATAAAACACTCATGTAAGGTGTTTAATGAATGAAAGTATACTTAAAAAGATATATAATTTTTTAAAAACTGAAATACACATTTAGTTTTTTAACTTTATTCAAGACTTTATTTTGGTCCCTTATATTCATAAAGTGTATTTTTAGTTGTTAAATCTTAACATTGTTAGTTTCAATGGCAAAATTTTTTTATATTGAACATTTAAATATTGATAAAATATTTTTAAATATTAACATTAAATTTTATTTTTTAAAATAGCAATTATTAGCACAACAAATAACAATTTAAAACTAATGGTATTGGGATTAAAGGACTAAAAATATATTTTATAAAATTAAAGGACTAACTTATAACCTTATACACAATTAGAGGATCAAATATATACTTTAACTTTTTTTTTGGATGATAAAGGTTTCAATTATTTTTTTTTAATAATTGTATAGTAGTTACCCATGTACTCTATTATAAGCCAGAAGAACATGCAAATTGTAAAGCGTGCATGTGAGTGCAAGCATGGAAGGTGTAGAGGACAATACAGTAGCAAGCATTTTCAGCCAAGGGTGCCCGATTGAAGATAATATAAAAAATATTAAATATTGAGTAACTTTTTATTTTATAATTTTATAAAAATTAATAGTATTTAGAGGGTGTAGAATAAAATCGTATAGCAAGTATTAGTAAAAGGCAAAAAAAAAAAAAATCTATTCAACTAATTATTCATCTACATTAACCATTCATTATACAGTAGTAAATGTTTTGATTGATTGATGATATTAATATTGATTGTGAGAATCTATATCTTACTTGATGAACTTCCAAATTTACTACGGAAACATTTATTTTTTTAAAAAAAAGTCCTCACTTTATATCAATGTCCTTACATGGCGATCAATTGTCGTCCCTGTATGATTTTTTTAGTTCAATTGCATTCGAATAATAGTTAGTTTAGCGCAACCATGATCCGACCCAAGGGGTACAATGTTAAAAGTAGAGTTTGAAATTTGGGCCAACTTTTTTTTTTTTTTCATGTTTTATATAAGTCTAGACTTTAGACTTGAGAAATTGTTGTGAGGAAAAAAAGAAGGGTTAACAAAGCTTTTTTGAGCTTCGGATTAAAGGTCAAGCTCGAGTAAGTTCAAAAGTTCATTTTTTAAAAAACTTTATGTTTTTTTCGTTTAAAATATTCCTTCCAGAGTCTCAGCTTCAAATAGTTAAACCATAACCACCAAAGCATTGAATTATTTGAAGCCTAGTCAAACATTTAAATATTTTGTTTATATTTGGGAATGATAATTAAACCTTTAGAGATTAATTAGAATATGTTTTAGAACATTTACATGGTTGTTTATTTTTTGTCATTTGGATGTGACATTTGTATTTTAATTTTTTTGAATATTTTAAAATTAATTTAAATTTTACAAAAATAAAAAATATAAGTTTTAGGGTCAAATCATAAGCCCTCATAGTTCAATGAGCTTTTGAAATTTAAAGGAAGATGGCCTTCAAACTCAAAATCCAACGGGCTAGGTCCATAAAAGCAACGCAGCCTATTCTAAGGTCTAGCTCAAAGGTTATAGAGTGAATTTTATAATGAGTGTTTTAAATTAGAACTTACATTATCACACTAATTATGATTAATCAAGAATTAATTTAAAAAGATTATTTTATGAGAAATTAACCTAAACAAATTCTTAACATGTATTTTTACAAACAATTCAAAATAAAGGGATCCCATCTTTAAAATATTTCAAGAACTCATATAATTTAATTAAACATACACAAAAGTATGATTAAGAAATACATTTCAAGATGAGAGAAAAACCCCCTTATTTTCTCTGTGCCCTATTCCACATAATATATGTATATTTACTAATGTGACACTTGACCACTTAAATCCTTCCATGACTAATAGTAAAGGGTCAAGGTCTCAATTACATTTATCACAATGATTATCAACTAGTCATCATACTCTATATATCATCTATTCATCAAATGGCTCATTACATACATGAATTTTTTTTCATTTACATATAATTAATATCAACCACTCACCCTTGGACATCAAAACACAAAGAGAAACCATAACAATATTTCAGTTCTCAAATCATGCATGCAATGACTATTTCCATTTATACAAATATTTTTGGCCCACTAATATAAACATAAGCTCCAAATCACATACCTAAGAGCCCAAAATATATTTTCACCCAACACAAAACTCATAATACAAGTAGATCAAAAATATATTGTCTTAGTTGACAATATCATAAATTAAATACACATGTCAAACTAAAAAGAGAAAGTCCCACAAAAGTGATTATTATCACTTGGCCTAATGCTCTTTTCCTCTGTTCATTTCAAATGGGCTAGCTTCTATAATATTTTAAAAGAGAGGGGTGAGTACAACCACTCAGTAACTAATGTATATCCAGGTTATACAAATGCATGATAGTTAATAAAAAATGTAAGTGGCTAATAAATTCATTGAGATAATCATGTAAATAATCAGATCAAGATCATGCTAATCACATTAACATCTAACTCATGTAAATAATCTCAAAAATAAAGTCAAGTATAAAATTAGCACGATTGCTCACAAGTACTGAATATTCATACAAAATTGGCACAAATGGCCATATATATATATATATATATATATTATTCACATATTTACCATATGTTCTCATTTTCACAATTACAATTATATTCTCAAATATAGCTATCAATCACTCAAATTGCATGATAATAATAATATGCATAATCAATCTCTTCCTTATATTCCCTTTTATTTCCTTTGACATGAAATCCATGGGCCAATAACCGAAAGGGATTGTCCATGTGGTGAGACAACCCAAAGCCTTAATCATATTGTGAGGGGCTACCGGGCCAAGACTGCCTTGTTCAATTATGAACACATTTTTTCTAAATCACACACTATGAGGTGTCATGCTTAAGACTAACTTTACCCAAAACTTCACGTAGGCTAGTAGGGTTAAGTCTCTTAATAGGAACAATATTATAGTACCTTACAAGATAAGTAACGACTATAACCCTCAGAGTTATTAGTTAATATTCAAGTATCATATGAATTTTTCACAACCACTAGCTCCTTTACTAAGGCAAACTCTTGCCATATGATCATGCTCATGAGAAAATGTATTTCAATAACTCATATGTGTAATTCACAATTACCCACATGTTCCTCATTTTTAATGCTCAACGAGTATCAAAAATCATCATATCTCAATCATGTATTATGCATCAATTTTCATGCCACCACATAATTCACATTAGTATCCTATAAAGACTCAACATGCTCATACACAATTCATCATCATGTACAATCCATGATTTATAATTAAGAGTATGTACATCATCATCAACCCTCAATCTCATTACCCAAATCATGTCACAATTAACTTGGTCATAAATTATATGATCTCAATAAAGCCACATATGCATTACAAACAATGATTTCAAGATCTGGATATACATATATATATATATATATACATATTCATTTGTTTCACAAACACAAATAATTAATTAACACACAAATATATAAAATAAATTTCCTCCAATTACCTCAACTTTTGAGAGGTCAAAGGTTACTCTTCAAATTACAACACTTTCAAAGCTTGATTGGTGCTTAATAACAATTAATTTACATTTAAATTATATCATAATGTGTCAATAATATTATTAACACAATTTTCACTCATATTTCAACATTTAGGCATTTATTTTATTTTATTTTATTTTTTTGGATTTCAATCTTAGCCTCTTGAGTTCTAAAATTTAATTTTATATATTTAAACCTATTTACTTAATTCAGTAGTTTCATTCACAATAATTTCATTGAAATTTAACTAAAATCATCATTCAAATAATTTTCTAATATTAAAATTTTCCTTTTTATTCCAAAAATTTGCACCTAAAAATACATAAAAATTGAAAACTTAATCTCAAGCCTCGAATCATTATTCTATAACTATAATAATTTATTTTTCATTCCAAATAATCATTTAAATATCAATAAATCAATCTATATTTTTAGATTTAACTAAAAATCTATTTATAGGAATCTAGGGATAAACTCAAAGGCCTTAAATTTCAATTCTATCAATAAAATAATACTCCAAAATATTTATTATACTACCAATAATCTCAATAACCAGATTTATTTATTAAAAATTTATCTCTCTTTTAAATCATAATTTTTTAAACTTTAAAAAATATTTAAAATATTTATTTAATTTTAAAATATTAAAAATATTATATGAAGTATTCTATTATGATTTCCTATCTCCTATTTCAGCTCTGGTCACGGCGTCGCTCTTGCCACCTGTTCGCACCGAGGAAGAGGAAATGAAGATAGGAAGGGAAATGAATGATGCGTGTGTTGCTTCTTTTAGTTTTTTTTGAAAAAACTATGTGGGTCCCACAGATTTTGCTCCTTAACTTTTGTTTTGTTTTGTTTTGTTTTGTTTTTGTTTTTGTTTTTTGTTTTTATACATTACACACACTAACGCGCACACAAGGCAAATTGTCATCCGCCCCCCACCCTTCATTTTTTTAATTCATATTCCTTTTCTTTTTTTAATATTATTATTACTATTTTTATTATTTAAAAAAATTATAACTTAAAATTTATTTTTTTAAATTAAATTTAATAATAATCTTTTAATTAAAATTATTTATTTTTAAATATTCATTTAAAATTACTCATTAATCCTTGATTGATTTAATTAATTTCAGGTTAATTTTTGAGATGCTATAAATTTGACATTTATTAAGGAAACTCATATCTAAAAGTTACTTTAACAAATTATTTACAAACAAGAACTAATAATTAATTTCATTAAAAAAAGTCATGTTTCTATTTAAACAATAATTTATTTTACATTGATCTTTATTTGTAAATAATTTTTTTGAGTGATTTTTGAATGTGATGTTCCCTATGTATTAAAAAAATTGCATATAGGCCTCATGAAATAGACTTGTCTATAAACACATTCTATAAAATTTAAAAATTACAATTAAAATTTTTTAAAACTTAAGTGTAATTTAAAATTAAAATATAAAGATAATATTGTCCGTAAAAATACTAAAGTTAAAGTTGTTAAATATTGAGGCAATGATTATAAATTATTGATAAAATAATAGTAAATAATTGATATTAATCAACATTTAAGTATCATGTTAGTGTTAAGGTTTATGTCCTCTTGCATGTCACGTGTTTGAATGGACATTGAGAGGAGAGTAAACAATTAATATTAAATTTTGTTAGTAAAATGTAATCTGTTTAGCTATTAAATATATAAAATTATTGTTGTAAAATGTTGAGATGATAGTTATAAATTATTGATAAAATAGTTTTATACAATTAATGTTAAACTTATAAAATATGATCAATTTAAATATATAAATTTATAATTATAAAAAATTAAAAATATAATTATAAATTACTGATAAAATAATTATAAATTATTTAATTGATATAATATATTTTTAATAAAATATTAGTATTTTTGCATGTCAATTTCAAATCATATCTAAGTCATAAGAGTCATAAGGGACATGGCTGTCGTTATTGAATTTTTCAAAAAGTATTTGTTAATAAATCTGTTCAAGGGACTTATATGTCATTTTATCTTCATTAAATTTATTAAAAATTAAAAAAATCTGTTAAATAATCAATTATTTATCCTTTGGGGGCGTAATAAATAGCTGCGTGGGGCATTGAGAGTTGAGAGTCGAGACTTAAGGGAGGCATGCTAAAATAATGTTTTTTAGACAAATTAAAAAAGGATATTTATCGGGGGACGGGGATAAGTATAAATAGTCACCAGCTTGACGGTGTCGAGTTTCCGCCGGATTTTAGTCATAGGTAAAGAGGCGTTCCTTCCTTGTTCCAAGAGGAGGTGGTGGTGGTACGTGATTGATCCCAATTCCGATTAGGGTTCGATCTCCTCTCTATCCATTCTTTCTCTCATGTCCTTTTCTGTTTATCCTCTTGACAAACTTTCCTTTACTTTCAAGTTAATCAATTCATTGACAATTACCCTCGGCTTTTCTTTCCCCATTTTTTTCGGTGAATACAATTTTCGAGTTCAGCCGATGCAATTCTAATACACTGTCGATGTGAATTGTTCTCATTCAATCCAACCTGTTGTCACAGCAGGCCGTAATCTGCAATTATTTTCTCCAGTCCCTTTGAATGTCTCGCATTTTTTGTTTTAAATTTGATGATATATTGAACAATTTGTTTGTTATAGTTGTGCACATGTGTAGGATTAAGTCTAGCAAGGCAAAGATGAGTGTGGCGAGGGCAGGAAGCTCAGATGAGTGTACTGGGCATGCAGAGCCTCCTGATCCTGATATTCTTGAAATTGATCCAACTTGTCGATACATTAGGGTAATATATTTGTTTAATCTTTTGTGCTAGCTCTTGCTTTTGCCTTCCGCTATACTTCTTTACCCTGCCACCCTTCTTGTAGCCTTCTGATAAACTCCGGTAGAATTCCAAGAGAATGACAGGGTAATAGAGATGTGTTTGGAGTGCTTTACCTGTTTTTGTTCCTTCTCTGTTTTCTTTGAATTCTGTGAAAAAATTTACAAAGTATCCAGACTTGTTATACTTCCCCGAGACTGAAGCTGCTTTTCGCATCTGTGACAGTATAAAGATGTGATCGGCAAAGGTGCTTTCAAGACATGGTGCATATCCATTGTTTTGCTTTATTGTCACTAATTACTTATCCATTCACTGATTTCAGTAATTTGTGATTCATCAGTTATAAGGCATTTGATGAAGTCAGTGGACTTGAAGTGGCCTGGAACCAGGTTCGGATTGATGAGGTGCTACAGTCACCAGGTGACTTGGAAAGGCTCTACTCAGAAGTGCATCTCTTAAAATCATTGAAGAACAATAACATAGTAAAATTCTACAATTCCTGGATTGATAATAAGAACAAGACTGTTAACATCATCACGGAGTTGTTCTCTTCGGGTAGCCTCAGACAGTATGTTTGCTTTCATTTGTGGATCTGTTTACTCTCTTTTGGCTCTTTATAGTGAAATCATCTGTTTTTTTAGTGGACATGATGAATGATTTAGGTATCGTAGGAAGCACAAGAAGGTTGACATGAAGGCTCTTAAAGGATGGGCAAGACAGATATTAATGGGTTTAAACTACCTCCATGGTCACAACCCACCTATTATACACAGGGATCTGAAGTGTGATAATATATTTATCAATGGAAACCAAGGTGAAGTTAAAATTGGAGATCTGGGGCTGGCAACTTTCTTGGAACGGACTAATGCTGAGAGTGTGATTGGTATGTTCTTCTGTTTCTCAGCATTTTTTCCTTCTTTTTTTTTTTTTATGTTTAGTTAAAACTTAAAACAGAAAATAATTTTTTTTTTCTTAAGAAAACAACACAGTTACTTATTTTTCTTATCACACTGTTGTAAGAACTCATTGACAACTTTTCCCATGTTTATTTGTCTCACGGCTGTTCGAATGTAAACTTATTTTACATACATGGGAGTCTTGTAGGAACCCCTGAATTTATGGCACCCGAGCTGTATGATGAAAATTACAATGAATTGGCCGACATATATTCATTTGGAATGTGCATGCTTGAGTTGGTGACTTCTGAGTATCCGTATAGTGAATGCAAAAACTCAGCTCAGATATACAAGAAGGTTTCATCTGTGAGTATCATGAACTTGAAAATCAATAGTCACCTTTTTTTTAAAAAAAAAAAAATCAATTGCTAAGTACTTTTGTCATACAATACTTGATTTCCTAGGGTATAAAACCCGCTTCCCTTTCTAAAGTCAAAGATCCAGAAATGAAATTATTTATTGAGAAATGTCTAGTCCCAGCATCTCAAAGAATGTCAGCAAAGGAGCTTTTGATAGATCCTTTTCTTCAAATGAATAGTTTGGCAAGAAATCGTCGTCTATCCTTACCAGATATTGTCATCCCTAAATGTGGAGCCTTTGGAGATCGTATCCTCGTGTCAGAAGGTCCTGCTACTCAACATAACAGATCAAATTCCTTGGATCTTGATGATACTTGTGAATTACCTATGATCACTACATACGATGGTTCTGGTAACGCTTCACATTGTCAATGTGTTGAGGTACAAAAGTTGAAGAGAGGTGATATTTTCAATCTAAAAGGTGAAGAAAATGATGAGAATTCTGTGTCGATAGTTCTTCGGATAGCTGATCAAGGAGGTTAGTATGAGTGTTGTTTGGTTTATTTTTATTTTTTTTTCTAATATGAAAATTAAATTTATATGTGACATCACTTCAAGCCTTAAAGAAAGGTGGGAAGAAATTACTATCCAATCTCTAATGATGTGCATCACATAACAGCAACAACTGTGTGTCAAAAATAACTTGCCTTTATTTTCATTCCCGAAATGTTTGGACTTGTCTATAAAATGTCAAAGAAGTTTATTTTATATCTTTTTCAGCATAGGTATTCAAGGAAATATTTGTGTTAATTTGAAGTCAATTATTTGTGTTAATTTTATTCAGTAATATAAATGTGGTAATTCCTTTGACTCAAGGTTGAGCAGTTTTAAAAAAGTACTTACGAAAGTTTATTTCTAATTTTAATAACTATGCTATAATTTATTAGTAAAATGATGTATATTGTGGTGTTTCAATGCAGGGCGAGTAAGAAATATCCATTTCTTATTTTACCTAGATAGTGATACTGCTATTTCAGTTTCAAGTGAAATGGTTGAGCAACTCGAACTTCCAGATCAAAATATAAAATTCATAGCTGAGTTGATAGATTTGTTATTGATTAATTTGGTTCCAAAGTGGAAACCTTGTGTAGATATTGCTCATTTGGTTTCACGAAGTTGTAGAAAAACTATTATTGGACAAAAAGATCTGGAGCTAGCAAAACAGAAGCAGCACTCAGAAGATTCTATACAAAATATTACTGAAGAGAAAGGTATCTCATGCTCGAATCGCAGCTCTCTTGCATCAGAAAAACATTATCACTCCAACTTGAATGAAATTTCATCCTATGGCAACATTGATCACGGAAATACAATCAAAATAGATGATTTGTGTTCTGAGACTAATGATAAGAAGTTATCTTTAGTTTCGTTCTTGTCTGTGGACTCAGCATTTAATGATTTCAACTTGCCAAGAGTGCCAGGAGAGACTGAATGCTCTTTTGTATCTGTAATGGAAGCATGGCCAAATTATCATAGGAGTAAGATATCAGAATTAGGAAGTCATGATATGTTAAGCTTCCCAGCCCATTCTAGTAATGTTTCTTCTTTATCTAACGTAGAAGATGAGTTGAAAATAGAGTTAGAAGTGATTGAACAGAAATATCTAGAGACAATTAAAGAAGCATCAAAAGTAAGATCTCAAGCTATCATGGAGGTTAGAGGAAGGTTACCCCAGAAGAAGATCCAATCATAAGATAGTTTCAGCAGTAATTTAGTTAGCTTCTATTTTTTTCTCTTGGTTCATGCCTTTAAGTATAATGTGTAAATAGTGTATCTTGAATTAGAAAAAAGATTGATTTTGACTATATTTTTAGATCATCCTCTTTTATTTTAATAAATGTACTGATTACACTGATTTAATTCATTTATTTCTAATTCTTCTAAATTAGCCTACACATTTATCTGGTATAGTTTTTTACTAGTAGTTATATAGCATAGTAAAACTACTTAAATTTGGATTAGTTTGCTAAAAAAATATCCATTACAATTTAACACTATAAAAATATATTCTCTATATTCAGTGACATTTCAATATTTTCTACTCACACTTATGGGTTATATATATATATATATATATATTTTACATTGTCATCACCTTACAAGTGGAGTTTGATATGGGGTATAAGTGGATTTAAAGCTTTTTTATTTTTAAGAAAACTATTGATAATATACAAGTGGATTTAAAGCTTTTTTTTTTTTAAGAAAACTATTGATAATAGAAGCTAGTCGAGGAATCCATCCCCCCAAAAAAAAAAAAACAGTCAAGTAATAAATTATAAATTAAAAAAATAAACATGTCTAAATTTTATTGAAATAAGTATTGCAAGTATATAAACATGGTAACTAAATATTTTCATTTATTTAATTAAATTTTATGTGGATTTATACGATTTAATTATATTCATATTGTTATATTGATCTTAGACTAATCACATTATTAAAATTTTACTATACATAATTATATTTTATTAAATTTTGAATGAAAAATTAATATTCTATATTATCCAAAAAATGTCATCTGGACAGTGGGGGATGATCTTGATTAATTAATTTTACAAGAGGTTCAATTCAAAAATAATAATTTATTATTATTATTAGCATGTTAAAGAAAAAGTATTTTAAAATTTCTTGAAAATGAATATTCTTATATTGGGTTAACAAATAATTTGGACCATAAATTATAGATTCGGGGGTTATTTAAACCCTAAAATTTTATTTGATATATTTTGAATATTAATCAATTAAATTTAGAGTAACTTTGCAATTTCTGTTAAATTGAAACAAACATTTGTTACAATTTTTTTCAAATTCCATTCTCCCCCTTTCTCCTACTCTCTTTTGAACAAAAATTGCATATCAAACTGTATTTTTAAAAGTAACAGACATTTATTTTAATTTAACAGTACGAGGGTGAAATTATGCCAAACTTGATTGTTTGGGGTTCAAGATATACTAAATACAAGTTTAAATTTAAATCACCCCTAAACTTATAGTTCAAGATTTAAATTGTATATTAATCCTATTTACATCTCAACATGAAATTTAAAACTCTTATATCTTGTCCAGTGTACAAAATATTTTTCTGTCATATTTATCCCACTTATAAGGTGTATTTTCAACGGATAAATTACTGATTTGCAAAATAAAATTCCAGGTGCTAACATAAATTTTTCAGCGATGTGATGATGATAAAATTGATCCTATCACTTGTATTCAGTCAGAAGTTATCAACTTACTTCCTCCGGATTAAAATATAAAACATTGATTATTAATTCATAGTTCTTAAAAATATTAATTGAAACTTTAATTTCTTTTTTAAAAAATTATATCTTTTAATTTTACCCTCATTAAATACTTTATATAAGCATTTTCATAATGATATTTAAAATTTCAATGCATTATTTCTTTCAAAAAGAGTAATAAAAGGAGTATGGATATAATTGAAAAAATAATTATAAAAATTACCAAATGCCTTATATTTTAGACCAAATAAGATTTTCAGAAGAAATCTCATATTGTGATTTGGAGAGAGTATGTAATAAAAATACAAAGTTATCAACTTAGGTTGCAGATACTCTTCCTTTAAAAAATGTAAATATTTTTAATATTTTAAAGTGTAATTAATTTTTTTTCAAAAAACCCTTAATAAATAAATTATTTATATTTTTATTGTTAAGTAAAATACCTCATCAAATAAAAATAAATATAAAAATGATATTAATTAAAAAAATTTAAATAATTTATTAAGGGTCCAATTTGGTGAAAATGTTTTCCATTCTTGCATGGGAGGGAATAGTCATTTCAACCATGAACGGAAGGACTCATATTTATTCTCTTTGCGTGGACATTCAGCGGAAAATTGTATTAATCTTGAAATAATTTTTTTAAGTAAATGCAAAAAAAATATTTTTAATTAATTTTAAAAATACAAACTTAAGTAGAGATGGATTAAAAAATAATTATTAATCTTAACATTTTTTAAATTTTAGTAAAAACTCTACTATTTATAATTTTGATTTATTCATAAAATTAAAGGATTGAATAGAAGTGTCATCAAAAACATAGAAGTACATGAAAATGTTATATTCTTTATTAAATGTATAATATTTATTGAGTAGTAAACGATTTTGTAGAATAAATTAAACATATTATTTATTTATTTTTGGTAATATAAGGAATAGAGTAGACCTACTAATGATGGAGATTATTTCTCTTGAGATAGGAAAAGTAAAATGAGACTTTTTTAACTCAATTGCTACATTCACAATGATTAAGATTTAAATTTTAATCATTTGCTTGAGTGATGAAAGTTTTTAACCACTCATGCAGACTTTAATTGATTAAAATATATTGTTTATTACGAGCAAAATTTTAACGTAACTCTTTTCCCTTTACTAAACCCTTCTAAAACACAAATGCAACGTTTGTATTAAAAAAAAAAAAACACACGCAACACTCACACGCGCGACACACGGCATGCAACATCTGCCCCACACCAAATTATTTTTAAATCCTCCTTATAAGGCCGCTTGGAGATATAATTCATACCTCTTGTTTTAAGCAGGGAAGTTTATGCCACTGAAGCACATGGTTTTTAATAATTTTAGAATTGGATTAAGGTCTTTAAGAGCAATTTTATCTCTATGCTTATAATGAGACAATTTTACTTTTAAACTACTTTTTTCAAAGAACGCTAAACACCTTATAAAAAAAAATTTTGGCTCATCAAAAAAATATTTCAAAAATAAAATTATCTCACTTAATACAGGAGTAAAATTGCTTTTGGAAAAAAAAAATAATCATAAAAATGCACTCAACCATTGGAAATTACATGATTCTAAATTTTGATCCATGGTATTTTTAAAAAGCTTGCCCCCTCTAATTTTTATTTGGGAGAAATACTTATTTTTTTAATTTTTTGATTTCACTCTTGGAGAATTACATTAAAATTTCATACAAAAAAATTAATTACTATAAGATTAATTAATAACTAAATTAAAGTTAATGAAATTTGTGGTAATTAATTTTTTTATGTGGGCCTGCATTTAATTTTACCTTTCTCTTTCTTCTTTTACCTTCTCAAGTATTTCACTTATAATGTCATAAATATTTTTCTCGACCTAAATTATTCGTGAGAATAAAAAAATATGAAAATTTAGAATAAAAAAATATTAAAATTTCTCTATTATTTTTTTAAATTAAAAAACCGTATTGTTCTACCTGTCATTGTATTTCACTTATATCATCATGATTATGATAAGAATCAAAATTTCTCTTTTGTTTTTATTAAAAACCGTATAAATTTGAAATTATGTTTGAAACGTTGAAAGAGGGGAAAAAGTAAGTAAAAGCAGAATCAGCCTGGTCTTGCGGGAGAATAAAAATTTACGGATGGAAAGGAAGGAAAGGTTCAGGCTTGAAAGAGCGGCGCCCAAGGTTCAATCTGTCATCGAACAAGACTCAGAATCTCAATTGCGGAAAACTTAATTTTCAGTCTTCCATACATAATCGACAGAGCCATTCTCTATTGTTTCTGTAAATAAAGAAAATGGCGGGACGTGACGTGGAACTGAAGGCGGCGGCGACAGCTTACCCGAATGCGAAGGCCGAGGGGAACAGGCAGGAGGAGGCCCGATGGGCGAACGTGATAGGAAATTATATTGAAGAATAGAGGAGAGTACGTTGAGGCTCTCAGGTGGCTTCGAAGAGACTATGAGGTTTCTCTCAAATATTTGCCCGAGAAGCATTTGCTCCCCACCTGTCAATCTCGGGGAAATTTTATCTCCGGCTCGAGCGTTTCAGCGATGCTCTAACGTATCAGGTATAGTTGTCGGGATTTTTTTTTTCCCCGAAGTAGTTAATTGGATTTTCCCTCTATCACATCAGTAACCCTCGAGGTACGATTGAGAGAAGAGGATTGAGGGTTTCCTTATTTAAGCTGGGCGGGGACGTTAGTTTTCTTGAATCTAAATGATTAGGTATCTTGAGAACCTTATTATACCAGCAGTTTCTTACGTTGATAAATGGGAATATTGAATAAACTTGCAAGTAAGATGCATTTAAAAGACTTCTTCAGGGTTTTGCGTAAGCATGCTTTTGACTTACTATGTTGACACATTAAGTTAATCACTTTCTGTTGCATGATATTTCTCCTTCTTTTCGTTCAGAATATCTAAGAAAAAAATTGAAAACTATATTTCTTCTTTTAATACTATCACTGAACCACCATATTGATGGTTCATTTTTCACTTTTTAAAATCGGATATTCAATTTCTTGATGTTTTCCCCCTATCCTTTTTTAGAAAAAACACTTGGAGCTTGCTAGGGATGCTAATGACCTTGTTG